TTTTAACCCTGATATATACTGACCACACACCCTGACATGAATGAAATATACAATTCAGTTCTAAGGATAAGCAACATCATTTTATACATAAGAATCTGACCATCTAGCACTACATTTTAAAAAATGTTCACTTTGTCTAAGACTCTGAAACGTATATTGCCAGTTCATTGACCCTAAAATATCACATTACCATTTATTTTGGCTTGTTATTGGTAAGTAGACTGTTACAAGTTGGGATGATTAAACTTATTTTCAGTTAATATATGGCTTGAATAAAGCCATCTTTATCACTTGGTTCTCTTACATTTTTTCCAAGCATAAAAATATGTGAAATTAACTTGATTGATAAAACATGATAATTCTTACTCATGAATATTTACATAAGATTTGGGAATACATTAGTAGTCTGTAAACAATTAGTCGACTTCTAGACTACCATTAAAAAAAATAACATGACCAAATAATGGTTGGCTTTTTTTCCCAGTTCCTTTAACCATTGAAACTTTATGGTTGTGTCTTCTATGAATATACAATTTGCCTTCCCATGCCCTATCAGTTAACAATTTAGTTTATTAGCACTTTTAGCAAATTAAACTTTGTCTTCAGCTTTCCTGTATTTATTAAAACAGGCTAACTGATTGTCACAAAATCTATTACATCTGAGTTTCCATTTAGCAAATATGTGGACAATAAAGATATTCATGGTATGCTCGACATTTTAAATATTTATCCGTTTCTTTCTCATTCTATTATTATTCTATTTATGATTACTAAACTTATTGGTTTTCCTTTTCCATACCAAGATGGTAATCTTAAAAAAACATGTTTTTACTCACACAATAACAAAAAAAATCATGCATGCATAATATGCACAAAAGGAAACAAAAAAATAAGGTAGATTCCATTAAAAATCTTGACTATCATATTATTTTATTCAAAAACATTTAACAATTTCTGCTATGCACAACCAGTGGTCAAAAATGAAATTTAACATTTTTTCGAATTAAATATCACCGTCTCTTTACTAAAAACAATATCCTATAAAAGTAGCTATTTGATCTCAAAACAAGTGCATACTAACATAGTTACACAAATATAGTTCATTACAGCTAAGAGGTAAATATCTATTAAACAAATGTTATGCCCTCCATGTATATGAGTATAAATGCAGTACATATTCACATACGTGTGTATGTATGCATAAGTAAATGTATATATGTATTTGTATGTGTATGTTTATATGAGTGCTTGTATGTGTGTATGTGTATATGTGTATATGTGTATGTGTATATGTGTATGTCTGTGTATGTGTGCATGTGCGTGTATATGTGTATATGTGTATATGTGTATATGTGTATATGTGTATATGTGTATATGTGTATATGTGTATATGTGTATATGTGTATATGTGTATATGTGTATGTCTGTGCATGTGTGCATGTGCGTGTATATGTGTATATGTGTATGTGTATATGTGTATGTGTATATGTGTATATGTGTAATGTGTATATGTGTAATGTGTATATGTGTAATGTGTATATGTGTAATATGTGTATATGTGTATATGTGTAATATGTGTATATGTGTATATGTGTATATGTGTATGTGTATATGTGTATATGTGTATGTGTATATGTGTAATATGTGTATATGTGTATATGTGTAATATGTGTATATGTGTAATATGTGTATATGTGTATGTCTGTGTATGTGTGCATGTGCGTGTATATGTGTATATGTGTAATATGTGTATATGTGTAATATGTGTATATGTGTAATGTGTATATGTGTATGTCTGTGTATGTGTGCATGTGCGTGTATATGTGTATATGTGTATGTCTGTGTATGTGTGCATGTGCGTGTATATGTGTATATGTGTAATGTGTATATGTGTAATGTGTATATGTGTAATGTGTATATGTGTATGTCTGTGTATGTGTGCATGTGCGTGTATATGTGTATATGTGTATGTGTATATGTGTATGTCTGTGTATGTGTGCATGTGCGTGTATATGTGTATATGTGTAATGTGTATATGTGTATGTCTGTGTATGTGTGCATGTGCGTGTATATGTGTATATGTGTATGTGTATATGTGTAATATGTGTATATGTGTATGTCTGTGTATGTGTGCATGTGCGTGTATATGTGTATATGTGTATATGTGTATGTCTGTGCATGTGTGCATGTGCGTGTATATGTGTATATGTGTAATATGTGTATATGTGTAATATGTGTATATGTGTAATGTGTATATGTGTAATATGTGTATATGTGTAATATGTGTATATGTGTATGTCTGTGTATGTGTGCATGTGCGTGTATATGTGTATATGTGTAATGTGTATATGTGTAATATGTGTATATGTGTATGTCTGTGTATGTGTGCATGTGCGTGTATATGTGTATATGTGTATATGTGTATGTGTATATGTGTAATGTGTATATGTGTAATGTGTATATGTGTAATATGTGTATATGTGTAATATGTGTATATGTGTATGTCTGTGTATGTGTGCATGTGCGTGTATATGTGTATATGTGTATATGTGTATATGTGTATATGTGTATATGTGTATATGTGTATATGTGTATATGTGTATATGTGTATATGTGTATATGTGTATATGTGTATATGTGTATATGTGTATATGTGTATATGTGTATATGTGTATATGTGTATATGTGTATATGTGTATATGTGTATATGTGTATATGTGTATATGTGTATATGTGTATATGTGTATATGTGTATATGTGTATATGTGTATATGTGTATATGTGTATATGTGTATATGTGTATATGTGTATATGTGTATATGTGTATATGTGTATATGTGTATATGTGTATATGTGTATATGTGTATATGTGTATATGTGTATATGTGTATATGTGTATATGTGTATATGTGTATATGTGTATATGTGTATATGTGTATATGTGTATATGTGTATATGTGTATATGTGTATATGTGTATATGTGTATATGTGTATATGTGTATATGTGTATATGTGTATATGTGTATATGTGTATATGTGTATATGTGTATATGTGTATATGTGTATATGTGTATATGTGTATATGTGTATATGTGTATATGTGTATATGTGTATATGTGTATATGTGTATATGTGTATATGTGTATATGTGTATATGTGTATATGTGTATATGTGTATATGTGTATATGTGTATATGTGTATATGTGTATATGTGTATATGTGTATATGTGTATATGTGTATATGTGTATATGTGTATATGTGTATATGTGTATATGTGTATATGTGTATATGTGTATATGTGTATATGTGTATATGTGTATATGTGTATATGTGTATATGTGTATATGTGTATATGTGTATATGTGTATATGTGTATATGTGTATATGTGTATATGTGTATATGTGTATATGTGTATATGTGTATATGTGTATATGTGTATATGTGTATATGTGTATATGTGTATATGTGTATATGTGTATATGTGTATATGTGTATATGTGTATATGTGTATATGTGTATATGTGTATATGTGTATATGTGTATATGTGTATATGTGTATATGTGTATATGTGTATATGTGTATATGTGTATATGTGTATATGTGTATATGTGTATATGTGTATATGTGTATATGTGTATATGTGTATATGTGTATATGTGTATATGTGTATATGTGTATATGTGTATATGTGTATATGTGTATATGTGTATATGTGTATATGTGTATATGTGTATATGTGTATATGTGTATATGTGTATATGTGTATATGTGTATATGTGTATATGTGTATATGTGTATATGTGTATATGTGTATATGTGTATATGTGTATATGTGTATATGTGTATATGTGTATATGTGTATATGTGTATATGTGTATATGTGTATATGTGTATATGTGTATATGTGTATATGTGTATATGTGTATATGTGTATATGTGTATATGTGTATATGTGTATATGTGTATATGTGTATATGTGTATATGTGTATATGTGTATATGTGTATATGTGTATATGTGTATATGTGTATATGTGTATATGTGTATATGTGTATATGTGTATATGTGTATATGTGTATATGTGTATATGTGTATATGTGTATATGTGTATATGTGTATATGTGTATATGTGTATATGTGTATATGTGTATATGTGTATATGTGTATATGTGTATATGTGTATATGTGTATATGTGTATATGTGTATATGTGTATATGTGTATATGTGTATATGTGTATATGTGTATATGTGTATATGTGTATATGTGTATATGTGTATATGTGTATATGTGTATATGTGTATATGTGTATATGTGTATATGTGTATATGTGTATATGTGTATATGTGTATATGTGTATATGTGTATATGTGTATATGTGTATATGTGTATATGTGTATATGTGTATATGTGTATATGTGTATATGTGTATATGTGTATATGTGTATATGTGTAAAGTGGGCCTCGTCTTGCTGCAGTAGCGGGAGATGATGAGGAAAGTACCAGACACAACCAGTACGACAGCAAGCACCACCAGCTGATTATCCTCCCCAATGGCCATCCAGAAAGATGTTAATGGGGCCTGAAAAATAAGAGGCAATATAAATACTTCAACAACTCTCGAGCTAAAGAGAAAAAAGAAAAAAATCTAACGAGTATGTAAAAAATAATGAATAAATACCCATACATATAAATAATTAAACAAAGAAAAACTCCAAATAACAAAAAATTAAATCTTATGTAAAAAAAATATATATATATTAATCTAATAAAAATATATGCTCAGTTTGACTGACTGTGTATCAGTAATACCTACCATATAAGTTGCTAATGTATCAGCCAGTGGCTCTCCGAAGAGATTATTAACGAGTTCCTTTGGAGCAGAAGAAAGTAGAACTTCCAGCATCAGTATAATTGGGAGTAGGAATCCAAACAAGGACAAGCCCATTCCTTTTGCCTGAAATATCAAACACAGTCTTCATTAGGCATTTTGTGCCAATCTCTATTTCTTGATGATTATTAACTTTTTTTTTGAATGACACCAAATCATCTTGACATGTCAGAAGATAATAGATCTTAACCATTACAAAATCAGTATACAAGTCATTCAGTAGGAAAATATCATGAAACAAAACTAAGAAACCATACAAGAGTAATAAAGACCTTTTATACTCTATTATGGTGGAATTTTTCATAACATTTAAGTGTATGAGGCTTACCTTAGCACGGAAATTATAGGCCCTTGAAGCATTGTCAGCTTCAATGGCTTCATCAACAAGTGTTGAAATTTGGTCACAGTCCTTTTCCAACTGGTTGAGTGTATTCTGGATTGTCTGATTAATGGTCTTCTCAATATCTCGGCAAACCTCTTCAATTTGGTTCACACAGCGACTTGGCTAAAAAAAAAAATTAAATGTCATCATGCAGAAAATACATATTTATATTTTCAATGGGATTTAAAAGAAAATCAAAAGCATTAGAGTACCAAAGTCACTAACGTACCTTGTTTGGATTGGGAATGTAAATTGTTGGCATATCAAAGCCAGTCTTGTTGAGGCCTGGGCGCTTACATAATTCTTGTACAATCTGCATCATTACCCTGTGAGAAAGAGGAAAAAAATAATGATTCAACTCCCATTATGGCAAAAAAATAAAATAAAACTATATTATATATAAATATATCTAACAATTTAACAAGTTAACAAACAAACATTCAATAATTCTAATTTGAAATTCACCAAACTTATCTATGCTTAACCTTAAAAGCCTACTACACCTTCCTTTCAATCCCCCCCCTTTTTTTAAGGAAACAATTGGCATATTTTTTCTTACCTCTGCCTGTCACTTTCATGACCTGCTTCATCAGCTTTGGAGAGATAGAAGCGAATGCGCTCTGAGTGAGTTTCATTCAACTGCTCCACAATGTTTAAAGTTCTCTTGCACAATGCTTGGCCAATTGGGTCAAAGAACACGAAGATTAAGTCACACAGGTCACCTGAAAGCATTAAGGATTTTTGAGTGTGATTCACTAGATGTAATAAGACTCACTCCAAAGACTAAGATCAATGACACTATGTCTACACACAAAAAAAGGAAAAATTCTGGTAAACTTACCTAGCCATAGCATGGACTGATTAACATCAAATGGATACTTCATGTCTCCATCAACCAGACCAGGGGTATCAATAAAAGTTACCAGACTGAACTTCTTCTGCTTAGAAGTGCTAATCTCTGTATTCAAGTAATCCACAACACCTGTAAGCAAACCAGACAAATTTCAGTATATTCTCATGTCTTCACATAAGTCCTATTACAACAAAAGAGATTAGATGTGTACTTTTAAGTAACTCTGAACTATATTAAAATAAGAATATATAGTAAACCTTTCATTACACACATATATGTTACTAAGTCAGTAAGTTGATCACATGGCTCTGGGTTGCTGTAGACTGCACATGTTGAGAACAGCCCTTCATTGGGCAGCTCGCTATATAATCTCGCTAGGAGCCCAAAGAAGAGACATCCTCAACATATAGACCTGAAGACCTCCACACAACTCTGGTACAATTTGTCTCGCCTAAGGAACATGTATTGTAAATTGTAAATCAAAACACCTATAATAATAAATGTCCCTTATTACTCATGCACTAAAAATGTAATCAGATGTATCATATACCTTTTTAGTTAAAGGCATGAAGCATTCACAATCCTTAGAATAAAGCAGTGTAGGCACTACTCTTCTTCTTGTTCCGTGAATTCCAGCACTAACACCTGCCATGATGGTAAACTGCTACGCTTCAGAACCAATAATCAACACTATGATTGTCACAGAGACCTCTGTTCAGGACCAAGCCCAGGACTTGACTGCTGAGGGACAGCTACAGGACAACTTATATATACCCAGTATGGGTGACGTCACGGAAAGACAGTGCTTATCACCCCCAGCCACATATTCGGTTTCATGTTACACTCTACAAAAGCATACTTTTCTGGATAAAATGACCTATGAACATTTAAATCATTTCCATGAACATAATTACATGTGGAATAAAAGTATCTACAGATCTTTATTTTCATTCTACATAAGCATAAACAAAGTTTAAATGAATATACACTGAACCTGGTCTCAGATAGGTTCCAACCAATCAGACTAAGCCACATGCATCTTCAAACATGAGACTATGTGCCTCTGATACACATGAATTCAAAAGCCTATACAATGCTTATATGCTTATTATTGCAGAGCAAATCTAACTCTGAAATCAGTTCACAGAGGGATTAATCTAGCTATACTCAAAGACCATCTTTGAGCTTCATTTCATGCCTTAAAAGTAATGATTAAGAGCAAAAGGAACATATAAGAACAAATCTGAGGGGCTGTATCTCATACTTTCTCAGTGTTGAACCAAAAGCTAACAGGATGTTTTGGAAATCTTGAGTTAAGTAATTCTTGCCATGTGATTCTCACTAGAATAAAAGGACATAACATATTTACATTTATTCACTACTACAGAGAAAGATAGCTCCATTATCTTTAGGCTCACATGGGTTTTGACAACTGAAGTCCTTATTTCCAAAAACACAAAATCTAGAGTCTAGAACAAAAAAAAATCCCTATGTGAAATCTTCAAACTATCTGTGAGAGACAAAAACAGATAGGACACAGCTGTGATTTCCGCACACGTGCACAAGCGTCCCACAGACAGAGGAAGAGTGGTAGATAACAGTCACACCAGCACCAACACATTTTTTTTTTCTTTCTCCCCTCTATCTCTTTTTCATTTTTTCATAAGCTACAAACAGTTATGGCAGATTATATAGTTATCATACAGTTACCTTGCACATAGTTCCATTCTGCTTGTAATTATGAGAAATGAACATTTTACATATCAATAACTATACTCAGAAAACAATATAACATCTACATATAGAAAATGGGTCTACTAAATTGTTACATCCACAAAAGCTCTGAAATCCTATCATGGTGTATCTGGTCTCAAATAATAATAATGAAATAATAATTACAAGGTCTATCAAAGCTGAAAAGAATTGGGTTTGTCAATAAGCCAAAAAGGAACCGATTCCAACTAGATTTTGAATCTAATATTGTAATGTCAAATTTACAACCATCAAACAGAACAGTTTTATGGTTCAAGTAATGCATTTTAAAACCATGTGAAGATAATCCACTAGCACCATGATACATGGGTTCCAATGGAAAATAAAGCAACAGGAAATCTAGCCCTCTCACCCCACACACACTATGAAGTCTCTTTTAAAAATCAATGTAAACCACATTCACTAACTTAAAAAAAAAAATTACAAGTCAAATATCAATTAAAAGGTTTAGTTTTATGTAACACTAATACTGTCCATTTACTTTGGTTCAGCAAATATGTTAGAACTCAATAAACAACAACAACAACAACAACAACAACAACAACAACAACAACAACAACAACAACAACAACAACAACAACAACAACAACAACAACAACAACAACAACAACAACAACAACAACAACAACAACAAAATATACAAACAGTCATTACATGTTTTGATTCCTCAACTGCATCATCAAAAAGTATTAAGCCAATGCCACTAGGAAAATCTGAAGTGAAATAGACCTACCCATAGATGGCTCCACAAGTGCTCACCTGATTTTTCCCTTCCTTGAGTTTTCGGGGAAAATGTGTTTTTTTTCTGTTGCTATTAACATCATTGCTGTTATTATTACAATTTACATTATCATTATTACAGCTTTATTAACAATACTAATAGCAAAATAAAATTAAGTATTTCCAAAAATCAAGAAAAATGGTAAACAGGTGCAATAGGTCAGACTAGCGAGTTGCTGATTAAGCTCTTGTGGAGCCATCTGTATGTAAATATAATTAATAAACTAAACACACTGTGGGCACTGTACATGGTATCAGCATTCAACTGGTAACATTACTCACCCTCAATGTCTTGCAGGGGCTTGAAGTGAGGATAAAGATGAAGTGTAGCATTTCCCTGAAAAAAAAGAAAAAAAAAAAAATCAAAACAAAACCTTCAATCTTTTTTTTTCATGTCTGATCCATTTCAATTACAATTTCAATTTATCACAAATTCACTTCAATACTACCTCTAGTATCTCAAAAACAAAATGCAGCCAAAGTGAACTCTATTTCTCAAGATGTTTAGGAAACACACAAAAGTAGGGCTTACAGTAAGGGATTCCCGCTTCCGGCCACTGGTAATGAAGGTGAAGCCCTGGGTCTCGATGGCCACACCAGTCCTCTGCACATGTTCTTCAATGTACCTGTAAAGGATATGCTACAGCTCTAGAACTCTGCAATCTCTTTCCATAGAAACACTGTATACTTACAACTAAAAATAACAGTACATTTTTGTATACTAGTAAATAAAAGTAAGAAATACAATCATGACAGATGGATAGAGTAAGGGAAGGAAGAGAGAAGGAATATGGAATGGAAGAGAAGAGAAGGGAAGAGAGGAGAAGGGAAGAGAGGAGAAGGGAAGGGAAGAAAAGAAGGGAAGGGAAGAAAAGAAGGGAAGGGAAGAAAAGAAGGGAAGGGAAGAAAAGAAGGGAAGGGAAGAAAAGAAGGGAAGGGAAGAAAAGAAGGGAAGGGAAGAAAAGAAGGGAAGGGAAGGGAAGAAAAGAAGGGAAGGGAAGAAAAGAAGGGAAGGGAAGAAAAGAAGGGAAGGGAAGAAAAGAAGGGAAGGGAAGAAAAGAAGGGAAGAAAAGAAAAGAAGGGAAGGGAAGAAAAGAAGGGAAGGGAAGAAAAGAAGGGAAGGGAAGAAAAGAAGGGAAGGGAAGAAAAGAAGGGAAGAAAAGAAAAGAAGGGAAGGGAAGAAAAGAAGGGAAGGGAAGAAAAGAAGGGAAGGGAAGAAAAGAAGGGAAGGGAAGAAAAGAAGGGAAGGGAAGAAAAGAAGGGAAGGGAAGAAAAGAAGGGAAGGGAAGAAAAGAAAAGAAGGGAAGGGAAGAAAAGAAGGGAAGGGAAGGGAAGAAAAGAAGGGAAGGGAAGAAAAGAAGGGAAGGGAAGGGAAGGGAAGGGAAGGGAAGGGAAGAAAAGAAGGGAAGGGAAGAAAAGAAGGGAAGGGAAGAAAAGAAGGGAAGGGAAGAAAAGAAGGGAAGGGAAGAAAAGAAGGGAAGGGAAGAAAGTGAAAAAGTGAAAAAGGGAAAAAGGGAGGAAGGGAGGAAGGGCGGAAGGGAGGAAGGGAGGAAGGGAGGAAGGGAGGAAGGGAGGAAGGGAGGAAGGGAGGAAGGGAGGAAGGGAGGAAGGGAGGAAGGGAAGAAGGGAAGTGGAGGGAAGGAATAATGTAAGGCAAAGACAAAGGGGAAAAAAATAAAGATTAAGACCAAGAAAGTAAACAACAAAAGAGAGAAGAAAAAGAAAGAGCAATAAATAAGCATACAGTATCAGTATCTCAGTATCTGTATATCATCACATGTCTAATATGCACATACAAGTATTAAAATATGATGTACCATTTTTGCAAACTATTTTCAACAAACTGTTAACTCTCAAGATTACTTGAAAGTCATATTTGTAATTAATAATCACAAGTCATTCTTCCTTTAGCATTGCTCACAATATCTATATTCATACTATATTCAAGCAAGGGTCTCACTCATACTGCTGTAAGGACATATGAAAGACATTAGGCATATTTTTTTGCATACTTGCAATATCTGCTAAGGCACACAAACTTCTGCGGTTTGTAAAGTTTCTATCAGTAGAATCCAACCTTTTATTCACACAAACTCCATGTCCATTATACCAAAAAATATATGAAGCTTAGAATCACTAACAAATCACTGATCCTGACATGCACGCTTCAAAAATCCTATTCCTGCCCGGATAACATTTCTTTACGGTCTGCACAAACAATCACAAAAAAAATATATATATACGTATCACCCCTGGTATCACCCTCTTAAAATCACGGCACATTCTACCAGGCACCAACCACACAGTACTCCAGGACCAACGAAAATGATGACACTCGAAAGTCAGGGCCAGGTGGCTGGGCGGATGTGAACGTGTAGCATGAACCCTTGTGTTGCACTCACCAGGCCCCTCTTCTGCACCCTTCACCCCCACCCTCAGAGCCAGTACAACTTCATGTGTCCTTGGGATGAAGTGGCAGAGGGAAGGGGGACAGAGGAAGGAAGGAGGGTATGGGAGGAAGATAAAGCACTGGGGGGAAAAGGTGGTAGAAAGGCCGGAGAAAGAATATCTTCACCAGAGTCAGGAGGTGGAAAAAGTAAGGAAAATGGGATCAAGATATGGATTATATACATATCATGGGGTGGGAAAGGAGGGAGAGGCAGAAGAAGGAGAGCCAGAAGGAGAGCCAGAGAGAAAGGGAAAGGGAAAGGGAAGGTATGTGTGTACATGCATGTGTATGTATATGTGCATGTGCATGTATATGTGCATGTATATGTATATGTGCATGTATATGTATATGTGCATGTATATGTATATGTGCATGTATATGTATATGTGCATGTATATGTATATGTGCATGTATATGTATATGTATATGTATATGTATATGTGCATGTGCATGTGCATGTATATGTATATGTGCATGTGCATGTATATGTATATGTGCATGTGCATGTATATATATATGAATATGTGCATGTATATGTATATGAATATGTGCATGTACATGTATATGAATAAGTGCATGTACATGTACTTGTACATGTGCAGTGAGTGTGAGTGTGTGTGTGTGTGTGTGTGTGTGTGTGTGTGTGTGTGTGTGTGTGTGTGTGTGTGTGTGTGTGTGTGTGTGTGTGTGTGTCTGTGTGTGTGTCTGTGTGTGTGTCTGTGTGTGTGTCTGTGTGTGTGTGTGTGTGTCTGTGTGTGTGTGTGTGTGTGTGTGTGTGTGTGTGTGTGTGTGTGTGTGTGTGTGTGTGTGTGTGTGTGTGTGTGTGTATATGTGTGTGTATGTGTGTGTGTGTGTATATATGTGTGTGTGTGTGTGTGTGTGTGTGTGTGTGTGTGTGTGTGTGTGTGTGTGTGTGTGTGTGTGTGTGTGTGTGTGTGTGTGTGTGTATGTGTGTGTGTGTGTATATGTGTGTGTGTGTGTGTGTGTGTGTGTGTGTGTGTGTGTGTGTGTGTGTGTGT